GTTGTTGCCATTGCTGTTCTTTGATGTCGATGCTGGTGATGATGGTGTTATAATCAGTCGCCGACGGAGGACGGCATGTAACGCGATGCATGAGCGATTTCGAGCTGTCAAGACTAGAGGTATCGATAGCCTGAAAATAAGCCAAACAGTCCAGACGGAAAGAACCAGCCTGATCCCCGTTGCCGATTTTCTCTCCCCAGCAAACAAAGGCCCGATGAGAAAAGTGATCCTCTGGGTATTTCGGCGCCTGGCCCGTTAGCCTGGTACGAGACTGGCGTCGCGGCCCCGGTGACGGAGTGCTCTGGCTGCTTGTTGGGGAATTGCCGAGGCTCGCAATTGGAGCAGTCAGCAATGTCAGCATCGACATGTTCAAGTTGACTCATTTCAGTTGGTATTACAAAGACTGAACCCGTGAAGCACATAGCGTGACCGTAAATCACGGATTCTCCGGCAAAGAGCTTGTTCCATTGTTGCCTCTTGTCGGCGGCTTTCAAAGCAAAAAAAGGATGGGAATCTCTTCATGCCAAGGGCGCGGCCGAGTACTGCGCTAACACTAGACGCCAAGCCATTGGAGAGTGGCCCCACCTCATCCCACCATGTCCCACCATCACAGCCCACCATGGAGCAAAGCGTATGATGCAACCACGATGGGAGGCGGCTGGTGGGATGGAAGGAACGAGCAGAAACCACCCACCCATTGACCACCCCACCCTCAAACCAAATTTATGTCGCTCATGCCACCACGGTGACATTTGGCAGGCATTGAGAGCGTTAGCAGGGGTGATGAGGAGCTCCCCTCCTCTTTTGCCCCTCCTTGCCGACTGGGGATTACAGGCTGATAACCAGACTGGACGCAAGCAGGGCAGCTGGAGTCGGCTGGGAAACTAGATAATAGATAGTACAAGAATCTCCTCCTGCCTCCCAACTTTTTCCTTTCTTTCCTTCTCTTGCTTCATCATCATCCTCGCGATACCTTCATCTTTCTAAACAAAACTCTTCTTCCAAACCACATCAGGTATGTTGTGACTGCCCCCGCATCTCCAGAAACCGAGCTTCCTTCCTCAACACTTCCAATCATCGTCACTTCCTTTGTCAGCGGCGGCGGCGGCGGCAGCAGAAGCAGAAGCAAAAGCAGAAGCAGAGGCGGCAGCTACCCCGCACCTTCCTGACCCCCCGTCCCATCTCATCCTCAGTCAATTCCTCCCGCCTCGCTGCCAAGCTGTGTACAGCATCTGTGTCTGCGTCTGTTTCCCCCCAAGAGGAAGTGGACGAGACTCAGATCGGACTGTCATGGGTGCTGGTGGTAGAGGTGGCATCAGAAGGGTTCCTCGGAATCGCTCCTCCCCGATCCTGCCTGCAGTCGGTCCTTCCGTGTTTTTGGACGCTCCTCGTGTCCAATTGTTCTGCCACGCAAACATGTGAACGGACGAGACCGAAAAGGATAAGGAAGGGCAGGCAGACGACTCCGGCTTTATAACCCAGACTTTCCTTCATCCTACCACTCATCATCATCTTGCAACCTTCAACAACTTGCTTCACAAGGTCTTGATACTTACTCGTCTTCACTCCAACAGTCAACATGGTCGTCAAGGTCGGCATCAACGGTTTCGGCCGTATCGGTCGCATTGTCTTCCGCAATGCCATTGAGCACGATGACATCCACATCGTCGCTGTCAACGACCCCTTCATTGAGCCCAAGTACGCTGTAAGTTGGCCTTGCTCACATACATCCTTTGTCTCACATGACAACCCAAGACTGACCATCATCCCTCTTACAGGCTTACATGCTCCGCTACGACACCACCCACGGCAACTTCAAGGGCACCATCGAGGTTGACGGTGCTGACCTCGTCGTCAACGGCAAGAAGGTCAAGTTCTACACTGAGCGCGACCCCGCTGCCATTCCCTGGTCCGAGACCGGTGCCGACTACATTGTCGAGTCCACTGGTGTCTTCACCACCACCGAGAAGGCCTCCGCCCACTTGAAGGGTGGTGCCAAGAAGGTCATCATCTCTGCCCCCTCTGCTGATGCCCCCATGTACGTTATGGGTGTCAACAACGAGACCTACGATGGCTCCGCCGACGTCATCTCCAACGCCTCTTGCACCACCAACTGCTTGGCTCCCCTTGCCAAGGTCATCCACGACAACTTCACCATCGTCGAGGGTCTCATGACCACTGTCCACTCTTACACCGCCACCCAGAAGACCGTCGATGGTCCTTCCGCCAAGGACTGGCGCGGTGGCCGCACTGCTGCTCAGAACATCATTCCCAGCAGCACTGGTGCCGCCAAGGCCGTCGGCAAGGTCATCCCCGACCTCAACGGCAAGCTCACTGGTATGGCCATGCGTGTCCCCACCGCCAACGTCTCCGTTGTCGATCTTACCGCCCGCATCGAGAAGGGTGCTACCTACGATGAGATCAAGGAGGTCATCAAGAAGGCCTCTGAGGGTCCCCTCGCTGGCATCCTTGCCTACACTGAGGATGAGGTTGTCTCTTCCGACATGAACGGCAACCCCGCCTCCTCCATCTTCGATGCCAAGGCCGGTATCTCCCTCAACAAGAACTTCGTCAAGCTTGTCTCCTGGTACGACAACGAGTGGGGCTACTCTCGCCGTGTCCTCGACCTCATCTCCTACATCTCCAAGGTCGATGCCAAGAAGGCTTAAATCGGTTGCGTACCCGCACGGTTATGAAGTAATGGTCTTTTCCTAGATATGAAGAAAAAAAAAGGGCAATGATTCCATGGGATTGAACTCGAGCATGTTGGATCTCGGGCAGTCCTGCTTAAAGTAAAATAATATCCGAACTCAAATAGATACCAAGTTCACTTCCAGTTCTGTTCCTAATTGCGCATTGTGATACGAGTTGTTTTCTATCTCAAAAATGCCGTGTATGGATGGCTATCATTCCAGTTGACCGCGACTTGGTGCTACCCATGGGCGTGGGACGGGTACAGGTCGCAACTGAGTGCCTGGGGCCTCCTGCGACGGTTTAGCACCAGTGAAGTGCTCAAAACATTGAAACAAAAGCCTTCCTTCGGTGAGGGTAAGTATCAACAGCGTATGATGAAAAGTAGATCAATACCCTGCTAACCAGATGTCTCTCTTGATGTGACCTACTACACCTTCAATTGATTGACCTAACTCTAGCTTGACCGTAATTTCCAGTGGCCTGAGAGCACGGTGTTCCTTAACAACTGATGATTGGCAATCTCCCTCAGTGGTATGACGATGACAACATGAGGCGAAGTTGAAGGGTAGGTAGTATTCACTGTCACCGTTACTGTCGTATCGACTGTGAGTGTGGTCTGACAACGCCTTGTCGGGCTATCCGATCAACGAACGGTCTATCCGCTTGCCGCCCGCTGCCGTCCGCTACTGAATGTTACATGGGTGGGTGAGTGGACTGAGAGAACGTCAAGCTGTCAAGGGTCTTTCATCAGTCGTCAGTCTATACCTGTCAGGATTACATGTACCTACATAGACCGTCAAGGTAATCAAGGTAATCAATCTCTGCTCTGATTGTCCGCCACGTATCTCAATCAGGAACCGGAGGAGGAGGTGTCATGTACATAGAAAACAGGAGAGACAGGACTGGACTGGTCCGAATGGGGAATAGCAAGAGGCATGAAGCAAGCAGACTCCGTCCATTCTATGGCTGGGGGACCTTGATGGGGACCTTGATGGCCCTGGCTCTGGCCCCCTTTTGACGGACGGCGTTACTTCCAAAGTAACAAAGTGGAAAACACTGCTGATGATGACGTTGTTCACCTTGAACCACCTTGGCCACCTTGATGGCTGAGGAGGTCCCGGTTGCTTTGAGGTACTACTACACTATAAATTTAGTTAGTTAGTCGCGAAGAAGCGGAAGGGCGAGAAGTGAAGTAAGTCAGGTGTAAGTCAGGTGTATTCTAGAAAAGAAAGGCGAAACAGCGAAAAAGGGGAAGAAAAAAAAAGCGGGAAAAAGAAAAGTGAACAAGAAGAGGGCAATAGGAGAAGGGTGAAGACGGTAGGAGACGGAGTGGATGTCAATGAGCTGGAAGCAGGTAATTTATTTGAACTGGTGACTGGCTACTGCTTTAAAGGTAGCTGAGAACATGAGTGGCAAGATCACCACCCATTATGCAACACCGTTACTACTACTATCATAATTAACGACCGTGACTTTTCTTGCGGGTTCACTTAGCATACTCTAACGATCGGATAGATAAATTGTATGTATGAATGACAATGACAGCAGGAGCAAGGAAGTAAGAAGGTTGCCCAGTGAGTTGGTTCTCTATGTTGTTTGTTGGTTCGTGGTATTGATGACATGTCAATCTTGTATGTATGATACTCTGTAAACTGAACTAGACGTTGTGAGGAGACAACAATAGAGGAAGCGTAGGGAAATACGAACAGGACAGTAAGATGTGTTCTTAGTTTGAATAAGTACACTCAACATTTTTACTTTTTGCTGTTCTCATTTCTGCCCCGTTTTGATCACCAGAGGTATCCAAGACACGGCACGCACACGTCCAACCTCACATGTTATTAGGAATAGAAAAAAGTCATCGTCAGTGTTTTATTGATTTTCCAGCTACGTGATCTATTTTATGCATTATTGAAACCCATCCATGCATTTGCCGTACTACTTACTGTAGTCTAGCATCACCATCACCAAACCAAACAAACCGTCTATTCGTATGCTCGCATACCATACCATACCATACCATATCATATCAGAATCAGCAGAGCACGACAGACAGACAGACAAACCCCATCCGGTAACCCTTCCATTATCACCAACGGATGTGCCACTCGTTCGTTCTCAACTAAAAAGCAGCACCCCCCAACCCCTCCCCCGCCAGATTCTTCAAGCTCCGCTCACTCAAATCACTCTTCAACTCAAACGCCTTGCTCTCCCTCTCCATCTTGCTCCACATCCTCAAGCTCCTCCTCAGCTTCTCCTTCTTGGCATTCAACTCCTCCCGAATACGCTCCTCGTCCTCCATCAGCTTGCGATGGTGCGGGTCCAGATCCTTGGTGACGCCCGTCAACATGGCAGAGCCAATCGACGGGTCCAACTTGCCGACGCCGGGAATGATGGGGGGCATGCTGGCCATGAGGGATTGCGCAAGGGTGAGGGACTGCTGCTGATGGCCGCGCGGACCGTGGTGGCCATGGGAGTGGGCGTGAGCCGCGGGGCCGGTGGGTGGGTTGAACGGCTTTGCGGAGCTGCTGAGGGAGGGAGAAGGGGAGGAGGTGGAGGTGACGACTCCTGAGCCTGCGGAGGCGGAGACGGATGATGCAGCATTGGCGGCTGTGGACGCGCGAGGGCCCGTGGGGATGTTGTTGGCGTTGCTGGGGCCGGTGGGCGGGCCACCGGAGGAGGGCGAAACCGATGAAGCGGGGCCATTGGTGTTGCTGGTGACGGAATTGTGACGGGAGATGCCTGACCAGCTGTTTCCGCCACGTCCTCCGCGGGGCGCGAAGCCGCCTCCTCGGGAAGGAGGCACGTAGCCACGGGGTCCCGAGGGTGGTACGGGCGGACTAGACGTGTCGGGTCGGGACGGACCGCTGGGAGTCTGAGGAGGATGACGAGTGGCGGGGCTTGCTGATGGCGCTGCAGGCGGTGCCAGGTTCCTGGTTGCTGCAGGACCGGTGGGTGGTGCCCTCAAAGCTGCCGGGCCTCTAGGGGGCGATTTGACGGGAGTGGGAGTGGGAGCTGGCTCTGGTGCCGGTGGCCGTTGCTCCTGCTTGGGCGTCTCACGCACAGGAATTGGAGTGGGCGCAGCCGGTTGTGGAGGGGATCGGGGTGCGGGTGTAGGTGCCTCTGTTTGTGTCTGTGCTTGTGTTTGTGCCTGTGCCTGTGTCTGTGTCTGCGTCTGTGCCTGTACCGACGCCGGTGCCGGTGCCGCTACCGGTGCCGGTGATTGAGGTCTTGATCGGTCATCTCTTCTCTGGCGAGAGCCCGGACGCGGCGAAGACTTGCCTGACGCAGAGCGAGACGTAATGGCAGATGAATTGACGGAGTCTCTAGGCGGCAGAGGTGACGCCGGACGTCGATAGGCCGGGGCTGGATAACGATCGTCCTGATCACGAACACGGCGTTCGGGAGATCGGAACCGAGGACGGTAAGATCCCCCTCGTGGTCCGACAGGTGGTGTCCTTCTCAGTGGTGAGCGATTCCGGCGAATTCCTCTGTCTCTGTCAAACGGTGACCTAGATCTTCTCCGTATTTCAAAGTCCCGCCGAGGGGGGGATCGAGCTCTCTCAGGTCGCTCATCGCGACGGGGAGATGCAAATCTGGGCGGAGGGCTTCTCCTGGGAGGGGGACTCCGTCTTGGTGGTGAAGGGCTGCGAGGAGGGGGGCTGCGAGGAGGGGGGCTGCGAGGGCGGCTTCTGCTGCGATCTTGTCTTCTCCAAGTGTTCTCGGGTTCCCTGGACCTATCTCGCGGGCGTCTGTACCGGTCACCCATGCCGCCTGGGCGATCTCCCATGCGATCTCCCAGACGGTCTGGCAAACGGTCTCCCATACGATCGCCGATACGGTCTCCCATGCGGTCACGAATGCGGTCTCCTAAACGGTCTCCAAGACGATCTCCCATCCGATCACCAACGCGATCAGCAAGGCGGTCGCCTACACGATCTCCCATACGATCAACCAAACGGTCCCCCAGACGATCTCCTCCACGTTCTCCTATACGATCGACCAACCGATCACCACTACGCGAGCGGCGGCGTGGGGATCTACTTGGAACATAACTGTCGCTGGCGCCGGGCGGAGTACGGCCCCGGTCTCTCAAGGGACTGCGAGTGGCCCGAGGTGACCGATCTCTGTTATAGGGACGGTAGGATTCGCCCGCTCCATACCTCCGAACTTCCCCATCTTCATATCTGTAAGAGCCATCTGTTAGAACGTACCCCTGGCTATAGGTTAAGCTCCAAAATGCAGCCATGGCGTGGGTCCGCTAGGCCAGCACAAGCTTAAAAAATAAGAGAAAAGGAAGACAAAAGAAAGAAAGAGAACCGAGTCATGGTCAAACCACCGGCAGCATGGATCCACCAAAGCAGGAGACAATGACGCTTCAAGACTGTCAAGCAGACCCGACTTCTTGGAGTTCGGAGGTAGACTGCTCCGACAGAACTGATTGATGACAAACAGAAATCTTGAAAGTGAAAACCCCAAATAACCTTGAACCGGGAAGTATGGGGGTTCAAAAAAACTAGCGGCGAGGGCCGCGACGGCGACGCCGCGGCTTGTACATCTGGAGTCCCGTAGTGGGAGGAAGTTGTCCTTCCAACAGAGTATAGCGTCCATGTCGCAAATCGTTGACTTTGTCGACATATGTTTTGGGACCCGGATAAGTTGCCCTTCCCTCGGCGTCATAGGTACATGGCAGGATAACCAGGCTGTAGCTTCTTCGCTTTTTCTGCTTGTTTGATCCCGCCGCCTCAGGAGTCAGAGATCTCGACCGTTTTCTGCCCCTGCTGTCCATTGTAGCGGTAGGATGGGCAGTGTCGATGTCCATGACATCAGAGCCCAAAGCTTGGGCAGGCTGGGAGTTGTTCTGAGAAACTGCAATGACAGTTTGAACATAATTAATGTCCATGGCATCATAACCCAAAGCTAGCGCAAGCTGGACGTGATGCTGAGAAAATGTAGTGACAGCCTGGGCGTTCGGGTTGTACACAGGCCCCTGGAGGTTGTGGTTCTCGGCATTTAAACCCAACGCCATGGCTTGATTGGAATGATCCTGCGAAACTCCTTCGGGTGGACTGGCTTGCTGTTGCTGTTGCTGCTGCTCGACGTTCGACATGTCTTGCTGTGGAGCGGACCCAAGAGGGATACCGTGCTGGTTGTCGTCAAGTCCTCCCTGCGGATCATGGCTCACGAAAACCAGAGTTGCTGCTGCGCCGACTTCTTCTGACATCGTAGCAGGGTACGTCAGGCAAATTGATGACTGGTAACAACGGTACTAGCGGGAGAGGAATTCCGAGATCGATAGAGGTTGTTCAGGAGGGTCCGAGAACGTGTGCAAAGCCAGATCTGTCCAAAAATTCTGATGATGGTCGAGATGGCGAATGTGTTGTTCGTAGAGGTACAAGTCGTGGGATTGATGAACTCGTAGATCCGCCGAGGCTTGATGCCAGATCCCAGGGAGGAAAGCAGACAAGTGTCCATACTTATCAGCGTTCGAAACTTAGAACATCCGGACGCGCATGAGTGAGGCCCTTGGAGCTGCTGAGTGACGGGCATGTCGGCAAAAGAGTTGGCGTAGATTCGACTCCTGTCTGCATGCATAGACGCGGCTCAAATAAATTCGAGCAGAATTCTCGGAAGTCCGATCCGACGCCGTCGCCATTGTCCAGACAATGTTGATGATATGCAGCAGACACACGTGTCCCTTCGCCAATGCTGCTTGCTCCTCGTCGGTGTTGATGGGCAAAATAAAAGTCTCATGGTCGAGTCGGCCTCTCCGTTCGTTTCGTTTGTCCGATCCCCCAGCGTCGCACTGCCTTTTACGGGCAGCAGCAATACCATACGGTATCTTCCCACATTCTTTCCCTCCTTAGCCCCTCCTCCGAGTATCGCATGAGTTCCATAAAACCATCACTTCCGCCCTCCCCTCTTGGTTGGTCCATCCATGCTGCAGGTAGTTTGTTCCTCTCGGTTTCCACTCCATCCAAGTCTCAATTTGGCATCGTCAAAGGTTCGTATAATAATCCATCTTTTTCTTCATGTTTTTCTTTTGAGCTTCTCACTTGAGAAGAGATATGAGTAAAACAAAAGCTCGCACTGGCGTCCTCCCACAATTCACTAAACATGAAGATCAACACATGAACCAAAACTTACCTTCTGCTTCTCTCCATCGCCACGGCATCGAGCGGTGGCCCTCCCCCCGATAAAGGAGTATGGTTGTGGTTTCTAGCAGTATGCCGTGCTGCAGGCCCGCGGTGGTGGTGATGCTTGAAGGGGTAATCTGGTCGCATAAGGGGTGGTGGTTTGACCTTAACGCGAAGATCAGATCGGGCGACGATAAAGATGGACAAGCTGAAGATGAAGGCAAGTTCTAGGCCGTTGTTGGTGAAGTTGTCGTCGTCACCCGGGTTGGTACTATGCAAGTATAGAGATGTTGTTGTTGTTGTTGTTATTGTTGTTGTTTGGTGAAAGTGGAAATATTGAGGCTCAGGGCAAGGCGCTGCAAGGTAAAAACGAACCGAACGAATCGTGACCGCGATTCGTGCAGTGAGTGCAGTGAACCGCCCCCGTCCGCTGTCGTCCGCTTGCAAAGGAGTTGCCAGCTCAAAAAGTTTTGCCTGCCGGGAACTCAAGCCAACTTGCTAGCGCGGACACGCAGTCACGTGGATGGGTGTCGCTAGAGGACTGTAACTGGGACCCACATAACCTCCAGACCGTGACAGCCCCAGGGGCGTGGCTTGGCCAGAATCCGCCACGATCAAGAACAGAAGGAGGCCAAAGCACATTCAGACGCGGTCTGGCCGAACAAACCGACGCGTCCCATCGCTACAAAGCACTGGCAGGTGGCGATATTGAAGGTTTGAGCTTCACCAATGAACCCAAGTCTCTGAGCGAGTAATCACGACCAACTATCATCAAAAAAAGAGACTACATAGCAAACGGAAGTTGTCAGATGGTCTGATAGTGAAATCGGAGACGATGATTACTGTAGGATGTCAACCAAGTCCACCTCGTACGAGTCACCGGATCGCAGAACTGGGGAAGACAATAGCGCTTGTGGATGGAATGATACTACGTTGCTACGCACTCTAATACGATCTATGTCCAAGGTGATAAGGCCCAAATTTGTCTTAAGCGTAGGGTCCTGTCTTGTTTAACCAGACTCGTGTGTCATGGAACGAAGAGCAGGCCATTATCAACACCAAGATTCACCCACTCTAGAACACCAGACGATCGACCTTAGCACCGAAGTATCCTCACAGCAAGGCTTTAGGTAGGTCAACATATCTCCAGTATTGTAGCCCAAGCTATCACCACGACAGCTTATCTTAAAACTCGCCATCACCAACAGCAGTGTCCAAGGGACCAAGGCCCGTCTTGTTCATATCTCACGCGTCCTCCACCATCTCATCCCCCAGTTTCTCCTCCTCCGGTACCATCCTATCAACCATCCAATCCTGAACGTCCTTGAAGTGTTCATTCATCATGCGACCCAACCCGCTCACGTTGCTGCGAATGACCGAACCGAACCGGCGCTTCATAACCTTCCGGCTCAAATCGGCATCCGCCCAGCATGCATGGTCCGCCGACACATAGACCCGAGAGTTATCCTTGTACCACGATGAAAGATCCGTGTCGACGTCCGATTTGACAGGACGGAGGTTGCCGTTAACAAAATTGACGACTCCCGAGATTCGCGACTTCACGTCTGTAGGGTTTGAAGAATCACATGTCAGTAATCAGAGCCTCAAGGGATACGGGAGAAGAAGGACACAGTGCAAAGAATCATGTACATACCTCTGTTAATGAGCAGGAGCTTGACCCCGAGGTAAGCGTTGCCGACACCCATGAGGAAGATGTCGTCCACATTGTCGTAGAGTTGAAGGTAGTTATCCCATATGTAGCACATGAGCTCCTGGATCTGTGCTTGTTGCGTTCGCTCGTCGACCTTGGGGGCCAATGACTCCGTGTCCTACATGTTGAGGTTAGCACGATCTTTTTCTACACCTTGTCGGGCATCGTCATCTCTACCTCTGGATGTGTAATGTATTGAGGAATGTTGATATCGATAACGCCAATCTTCCTGTTGATGGCCCACTGGATGTACTGCGGGATGCTGTCCGTCTATTCTTTCTATTAGGTTATAGTGGCGCAACGGGCAAGAGATGTAGAGCTTACAATCCAGGAGTCGTGTGGCTGGAGACTGTTGTCAAGGGGATCTGGCTGGGCGTGCAGTTCTGGTCTGTAGCAGGACGCAATTAGCTCGGTCTGGTAGGGAGGACGCAATTGTAACTTACGGGTCATGGATGACTACAAGAAGCTTGCGGGCTTCACTTGCGTTCCGCGTAACCAGCACCTGATTCTCAAAGGACTTGAATAGCACATCACGCTGGATATACAGCGGGAACATGCCAAACTTCTCCGAAAGGTTGAAGCGCTGAGCTGAGCGGACAACATCATGTAACCTCTGGCCACCTTGACTCTGCATCTCCTGGACATCTACAATGCCTGGTCGCATGCATTCCCAGTACGGCGCTTGGTACGCTTGCACCTTAGCCAGAACCCGAGCAGCCTCCTTGTTGATTTTGGGGAGATCCATCTTTGGGGGTGGTTCGCCCATGAGCGTACGGGCTACGGCCAAGGCTGACTTGGAGATGGCCGTAAGGTTGTAGCCACCTTCTAGACAGACCGCCACCTTTCCGTTGGCCAAAGACATGAGCATATGTGTCATGTGAGCGTAGCAAGCTGGCGATACAAAGCACGCACCCAGCTCGTCGCCGTCCGCAGCGTCGAACCCGGCGGAGATGATGACGAGGTCGGGATCAAACTCGTGGGCAATCGGCATGACAATCTTTTGGAAAGCCGCCATGTACTCGCCGTCACCCATTCCTTGGTCATGCCAGCCAATGTTGACGTTCTTTCCCAAGCCTGGCCCTGCTCCACAGTTCTCAATACTGCCATCTGGCGTCATCGGGTTATCCGGTTTTCCAGGGTAGAACGAGCCGTTCATGTAGACATGTAGCGAGATATACAGGATATTCGGGTCATCGTAGAACATGTTCTGGATGCCATTGCCATGGTGAACGTCCCAGTCCAAAATAAGTATCTTGCGGCAAATCTCGGGGTATTCGGTCTGGCAGATCTTGGCTGCTATTGGGACGTTGTTGAAGAGACAGAAGCCCATCGGGGCGTCGAACTCGGCATGATGGCCTGGCGGACGGATAACAGCGAAAGCATTCTTGACATTACCGACAACAACGCTCTTGCAGGTCTCAATAGCACCTCCAGCTGAGATCAGTGCGGCCTCGAATGTCATACTACCGACGTAAAGGGAGTCTCTCCCTTGATCCATAATGGTCGAAAGGCGCCGGAGCTCCGACGTCGGTTTCCGTGACAGATCTTCCACCCACCGGAAATGCTCAGGGTGGTGGACGATGCAGATCTCCTCCTTGGTTGCGTGTCGGGCTGGGATGCGCCACATGTACCTCCTAGGATCGGTGCGGATGACCTTCTTGAGGTCCTCATCGTCGCCAGTGAACACAAGGCCTTCCCTCTTGAATATCCTCATGATATGCTCGATACGAGACGGGTCTTCGGGATGGTGGGGGTTTGGGCCAAAGTCGGCATTTGCGTGAAGTTTCATACGATCGTCATAACAGCATCCTGTCGGAAGGAGACCTCTTCGCTTTAGGCGAGCCGGATAGATGAAGGGATCTTTCTCATCGTCCGGCTTTTCCTCCTTCTCGTCCTTGACTGGCGCGGTCTGATCATGACCATTCGGTTCTGTTTTGGTGATGCCATTACTTGTTGCCGGCACGTCAATTGTGGCAGGATGAGCATCTTGGCCGTCCATCACGATATCATTGTCGTTGTCGACCATCTTGAGATGGTCCGTCCAGACGGACGACTATGTGAAGGATAAAAGTAATAATGCCGGTGTCAACTCTTGAAACCTACGTGACCGTATTAGTAGGACGCAATGTGAATGACTGGACAAACGAATCGAAGGCATGTTAGGACGTCTTTTGTGATCTGACAACAAAGCAAAAGAGCAGTTGCTGCTTGAGAGGTAGAGGCATGGGTGCTGCGGTAGAAATAACAAACAACGAGCAAGGCAAGGGAGATCTTGGCTGTCCTTGGGCAGGAAAACCCTTAAACCGCTGAACGATAGACATCGGAGCTTCCACAAGCGCAGATGGCAAGCAGCTGCACCCAAACCCAGACTGAAAG